GGGGACCCTGCCCAGTCCAGCTGAGCGCCGCCCCTGCAGTCGCGCAGCAGCAGCCGCAGCAGTCGCAGCAGCCGCAGCCTCGCAGCAGCCGCAGCAGCCGCCGCAGACGAGGCACGAGTGTCCTCCGCCCGGGTGGCCTGGCGCTGGCGGTGGTCGGGCGCGTGGTGGTGTGCCGAGTGGTGGTTCGGGGGCGTGCGTTGTCAGTACCAGATCCAGACCGGTCCTCGCCGCGGCTTCGTTTGCGGTAAGATCGGTCTCCACTCCCGCTGTTTTCGTCGCCTGGACGACCTGTTTCGTCAGCGCTTCGGCCCGTCGCCAGACCTCCCGGACTGGCACAGTTTGCTTAGTCGTAGATTCAGATTTTTGACATGGACATGGATGCCATTGTGCCTGCCTGTGTGATGTATGCTGATGACTCTAGTGTGCTTCCTCTTATTACTCCTGTTGCCTAGTGTAGGTGTGCCTAGCTTAGCCTCCCCTGCTGCGTCAGGCGTAGGATCCCTGCTTTGTTTAGCCTGGTGCTTCCGTCGCTTCGTCGCCAGCGCCACTGCTCGCTTTCCTTCACCTTGGACTCTGGCGCTTCCGGTGTTTCTTCCGCGACTCCACTACCTGACGCCGCTTCCTGTTCCTGCTGCCGTTTCTCTTGCTGACCCCTCCGGCGGTCCGGTAGTCGCCCGCAGTTCCACCACCCTTCCCTGTCCGGCGGTTCCTTCGGGCTCTCACAGGTCTGCATATCCCCTCGTTCTCCAGGAACCTAGTTGGTGTCGGCTGCCTCCAGGACCTTGGCGTCACCACTACGTTCCCTGGTCACGAGCGGTATGCTGTCTGTACCGAGGCCGCCACTGGTGCCCCCCTGTCCACGTTCCCCCGGGACCCGGTGTCCGGCCTGTTCACTCTGGACACCGTGACCCCCCGGCTGGGCCCCCCTCAGGTGGCTGCGTCTACCCAGGTTGCTGCTGCCTGCTCCTGTCGGTCCCTCACTCACCCGACTCTCCTTTGGCACCACCGCCTAGGTCACCCTGCGCTCCCGCGTCTGCGTCACATGTCCCAGCACGGTCTCGTCCTTGGTCTCCCTGGTTCTCTCCCGCTTTTCCCTCCTCCCCAGCCCCACCTTGCACGCCTTGCGTCGAGGGTCGGCTTCGCCGTGCCCCTCACTCCTCCTCGTTTCCCCCTACCGCCGCGCCGCTGCAGACCCTGCACATGGACGTCTGGGGCCCCGCCCCCGTCCATGGGCCGCGTCGAGAGCGCTACTTCCTTGTGCTTGTCGACGACTTCACTCGCTACACCTCGGTCTTTCCCCTGGAGCGGAAGGCCGACGTGCCTGACGCTCTCATCCCCTGGCTTGTCTCTGCGCGTGTCCACCGAGGTCTCCCTGTCTTGCGTCTTCACTCCGACCGTGGTGGCGAGTTTGCCTCAGGTGTCCTTGGTCGCTTTTGTCGTGCGGAGGGCATCACCCAGACGTTCACCCTACCGGACTCCCCACAGCAGAATGGGGTCGCTGAGCGACGCATCGGTTTGGTCATGGAGGTGGCTCGCACCTCCATGATCCATGCCGGTGCACCCCATTTTCTGTGGCCGTTCGCCGTGCGCTACGCTCACCAGCTTAACCTGTGGCCGCACCCCCAGCAGCCGCAGGTTTCGCCGACCCGTCTTTGGACTGGGTCTCCTGGTGACGCGTCTGCGTTCCACGTCTGGGGCTGCCTTGCTCACGTTCGTGCCTCCGGCACGGACAAGCTCACTGCCCGCACCCTTCCCTGCGTCTTCCTCGGTTTTCCCCTTGACGCGTCCGACTGGCACTTCTACCACCCGCCGTCTCACCGCTTCTTTCACTCTCGCGACGTCACCTTTGACGAGTCCGTCTCCTACTACCGTCGCTTCCCCCACCGCGGTCCCCCGGTTACCCCCCCCCTGTTCCTGGTCACTCCTTCCCCGGTAGTCCCTGCCCCTCCCCTCCCCCCTCCCCGTCCTGCCCCCTCTGGTGTGTCCCACGTCACCCCTCTTCCGTCGTGGTCCCGGTTGAGGAGTCTTCTGACTCTGGTGGTCCTGCGGCGCAGTCCTCGGCCGCCCTCCCCAGGCGTCCCCTCCTCCACGCCTCTGCCGCCGCTGTCGCCCTGCTGTCGCAGCCGTTGTCACCTCCGCCGCCGCCGCCGCCGCAGCCGTCGTTGTCGCTGCCGCCGCCGCCGCCGTCGCAGCCGCCGTTCGTTGACTCTGGGGTGCTCGTTGGAGTGCGTGCTGTCCCGGTAGCCCTGGGGGTGGTACCGGTCCTCGGGGTTTCGGGCCCTGGGGTGTTCCCTCTGGGGGTGCTGGTGTGGAGTGTGCCGGTGGTAGCCGAGGAGCAGCTTGCGGTCCAGGTGTCGGCGTTGTGCCGCCGCAGCAGCAGTCCCCGCCGGTGTCAGCCCTTCGCCTGCTCGGCCTTCCGTCCCCTGACCCTGCGTCTGTTCCTCCCGCCGTCTCCTCCTCTTCCCGTCTACGGCCCTGTGTTCCCTCCGCCGGACTCGTCCCCGGCTCGTTTCCCCCTCGTTCCCCCCTGTGTCCCCTCCCTGTCTCCTGACCCGACTCCTCCGTCTCACGTCTGGTCTCACCGTCCCTCCCGTGCTCGTCCTGCCTCCCCTGTCTTGCGCTCCACCCTATGTTGCTTCGTTCCCACGCGTCTCGTCCTCCCCTTCTCCCGTCGCCTCCTCCGTCCTCCCTTGTTGTTGCACCCCCCCCGCTGTCTGACTACCTTCGTGCCGCTCGTCCTCTTGTTCCTCGGGTCCTTGCCTCTCTCGTTACCGACCCGTCTGTTCCGGTCTCGTGCCTTGACGCTCTTGTAGCTGCGGTCGCTGACTTCGCCTCTACCCGCCGCCTTGACTACGCCACCGCTCTGGTCTCTGACCCTGCCTGTCCTCCGTCTGTCGGGGGTGCTCCTGCCCTCGGCAGTGACGTCCTGGAGGACCGCCAGTTCGAGCTTGCTTTCCTGTCCGAGGCTGCTCCCCATCTCTGTTCCATGCTGCTAGTCCCTGAGGGTGACCCAGACGCTTTCGACATCCCGACCCCTCGCACTTACGCTGAGGCGACCTCGGGACCTTGGGCCTCAGTGGATAGCTGCCATGGAGCAGGAGATGGCATCTTGGAGATCCACCGGCACCTTCGTCGACGCAGTTCCCCCACCTGGGGTGAACGTAGTCGATGGCCGCTGGCTCTTCAAGGTGAAGCGCCCTCCTGGAGAGCCGCCTGTGTTCAAGGCGCGCTACGTGGCTAGAGGCTTCAGTCAGCGAGGGGGTGGACTTCTTCCAGACCTTCGCTCCGACCCCGAAGATGACTACTCTTCGGGTTCTGTTACACCTAGCTGCTCAGCGTGACTACGAGCTTCACTCCCTCGACTTCTCCACTGCCTTCCTTCAGGGCAGCCTACACGAGCAGGTCTACTTGCGTCGCCCTCAGGGCTTTACTGGCACCTTCCCTCCTGGGACCCAGTGGCTCCTGCGGCGCCCGTCTACGGCCTGCGCCAGGCTCCCCGTGAGTGGCACGACACGCTGCGTGCTACCCTTGCTGACCTGCAGTTCTTTCCGTCTTCCGCAGACCCCTCACTCTTCGTTCGTGCTGGCCAGACTCCGTTCTACATCCTTGTTTACGTCGACGACCTGGTCTTTGCCACAGCAGACAGGGACGCACTGGCCTCCGTGAAGGCAGAGCTGCTGAAGAGACACACGTGCACTGACCTTGGAGAACTGCGCCGTTACCTTGGCTTGCAGATCTCCAGGGACAGAGCCGCGCACCATCACCCTTGACTCAGTCACACTTGGTGCGCCAGGTCCTTCAGAGGTTCGGCCTTCAGTTCTCCTCGCACAGCCCACCCCTCTGCCTGTAGACCACAGACTCTCGCTCCAGTCTGAGGAGTCGGTAGAGCCCAGCGGCCCCTACGCAGAGCTGGTGGGTTGCCTCATGTACCTGATGACTTGCACTCGCCCAGATCTCGCATACCCTCTCAGCATCCTGGCTCGCTTTGTGGCCACAGGCAGACACCGACCGCAGCACTGGTCTGCCGCTAAGAGGGTTTTGCGTTATCTTGCTAGTACATCGGGCATGGGGTTAGTGCTAGGAGGACGCAGGCCAGTGGTCCTTACTGGACACACAGACGCTTCTTGGGCAGACGACGCCGAGACACTCAGGTCTACCCAGGGCTACTGCTTCAGCCTTGGCTCAGGTGCCGTCTCGTGGAGAGCTACCCGCTCCTCGTCTGTTGCCCAGTCCAGCTGTGAGGCTGAGATCTACGCTGGTGCCATGGCGGCACAGGAGCTCCGCTGGCTGACCTTCTTGCTCACTGACTTAGGTGAGCGGCCTAGCTCTGCCCCGGTCCTGTTCGCTGACAACAGGGCCATGATCCTCCTGTGTCAGGAGCCTCGACTCGAGGGCAGAGCGAAGCATATTCAGCTGCGGTACTTCCTCCTGCGCGAGCTACAGCAGCGACGTCAGGCTCGCGTAGTACACTTGGCCTCAGGTGCCAACACAGCTGATATCTTTACGAAGGCGCTTGCGCCTAAAGATCATCAGCGGCACTGTGTACAGCTTGGTCTAGTTCCTGTAGCCTCTCACTTGCTAGGGCCTTGACTTTGTACTGTCCTTTATATGTGTACTCAGACTGGACTTGTGTCCTCTCCCAGTGGCTGGACTAGTAGTGCCGCCCTGGTCTTGTTCTTGCCTTGTCTGTACTCCTTCTGACTGGTCTCTTAGACCCTTGTCTCAGAGGTTGGACTAGTAGTGCCGCCCTGAGCTGCTTGTTTTGGACATTCCCCTATGCAGTCTAGGGGGTGTGTCAAACATGTGTATTTGTTATGTTTGCATAGACTAAATAGGGTCAACTCTTTGAGGGTACAATACTTAGGTATATCTATCTGTACTGCCACTCCATCCATTGCATTCTCTCAATTTGATATTAGACTGACGTGGAAAGCTGGATGATGACGCCTATCAGCCGGGAGCCGAAGGTGGACAGTGACAGGTGTCACGAGGTTGGTCACTTGAAAGGGGCCGCAGAATCTGGGTCGGAGTTTGCTTGGGATCGGCAGCCGCAAATTGCGAGTGTCGAGGAGTACAAGGTCTCCCACGTTGTAAGTGACGTCGCGGCGATGTCGATCGGCTTGTCGGCTTGCGACCAGGTTGGCTTTCCGAATGGCCTCAGCTGCTTTGTCGCGAATGGCGAGGATGTCTTCAGCAAATTTCTGGGACCGGGGTACTGGTGACTCGATGTTCGATGTAGAGGGTACGACCGGGTCCTGTCCGTAGTTGAGGAAGAATGTTGATTGATTGGTTGTCGCTGAGGTCGCGTTATTATACGCGAATTCGAGTAGCGGAAGGGCTTTCTCCCACGTCGAGGGGTCAGTACAGGTGGTGCGAATAAGCTGCTCCATGGTTTGGTTAACGCGTTCGGTCTGCCTGTCGGTTTGTGTGTGGTAGGCGGATGAAAATTGGAGTTTGGTGCCGAATTGGTCCCACAGGTGGCGCCAAAAATTCGATGTGAAATTTGGGTCTCGGTCCGAAATGATGGCGGAGGGCATTCCGTGCAGGCAGATGACGTTCGCGATGAACAGCTGCGCAGTTTGTTCGGCGGTGATTGTCTGTTGGCAGGCGATGAAGTGTGCCATTTTCGTGAGTCGGTCAACGACCACGAGGATGGCGTCATTTCCGCTGGGACCGGTCGGCAGTCCTGTCACGTAGTCCATCGTGACGTGTTGCCAGGGTCGCTCGGGCGGATCCAACGGCTGTAGTAGTCCGGCTGCTCGCTGATGCGACGATTTCATAATCTGGCAGGCGGTGCAGGAGGACACGTACTTGCGCACGTCATCGGCCATGTTCGGCCAGTAATAATTCCGCTGCAGCATCTTCGTGGTTTTATCGACGCCGAAATGTCCAGAGGTAGGGTTGTCATGGGATTCCTGGATGAGTAGGGTACGGAGTAAATCGTAGCCGGGTACCCAGATGCGAGAAGTACCGCGTTTATGAAAGTACGGGCCAGTAGCAGTGGTATGCTGTTGATGGATGGCGGAGCGGAAAAAGGGGTCGATCTTGTAGCCGTGGGTGAATAGTCCTGTAAGTAATGGGTTGGATTGGGCGATTAGTATGGCGGCGGTATGGACAGTAGGGCGGGTCAAAGCATCGGCGATATTATTGGCCCCCCGTTTATACGTGATGGTGTAATGAAAGTTGGACTCGAGGAAATCGAGCCATCGGATCTGTCGCGGATTGAGGTTCGGTTGGGCGCGCAGGTACTGTAGGGATTTGTGGTCCGTCCGCACCGTGACGTCAGCTCCGGTCAGGTAGCATCGCCAGGTCTTGAACGCGTGGACGATCGCCAGCATTTCCTTGTCGTGCACTGTATAGTTCTTCTCCGCGCCTTGCAGCTCCCGTGATTCGTACGCGACTGGTTGTAACCCGTCGCCGAAGTCCTGTAGTAGGACTGCACCGATGGCGATGTCGCTGGCGTCGGTTACGACTTCGTATGGACGGTTGGGATCGGAGATGCGAAGGACGGGCGGCGACGTGAGGGCGATTTTGAGTTGATCGAATGCAGCTTGCTGCTTCTCACCCCACCAAAAACAATCGTGATCCTTCAATCGGTCGGTTAGTGGTGCAGATAACCCCGCCATATTCGGGATAAAGCGGCGGACGTAGTTGACAAAACCCAGAAAACTTTGGAGTTCCTTGAGGTTGGTCGGCGGCTTCCATTCCTGTATGGTCTTGATTTTCCTGGGGTCGATTTTCACGCCTTCGGTAGAAACGACGTGGCCCAAAAACTCCAACTCCTGCTTAAGAAAGTCGCACTTACACTGACGGAAAGAATTGTCCACATGTTTGGCAATTTTTTGAATTTCCACCGTTAAAGGGCATTTGAACATTAAGCCTTAATTGGAGGCATTACCCACTATATGCAGGCCAATCTAGGGAGACATTAAAATGCTACACATTTGATGAAACTACTATCGTTAACAGTAAACAGCAAACATAACCAAACACGGTGCATGTGGACAATTATTTCCAGGCGGAAGCAGCAACTTGAAAAACCCTTAAACTAGTACCTGGTCCACCGCCCTTTAGCCCTAATCACTGCTTTCACCCTCCTGGGCATGCTGTCGATCAAATTGGAGCACACCTCTGATGGGATCTTCTCCCACTCCTCTTGTACACGCTCCCACAGGTCCACCATACCAGTGGGAGGTGTCTCATGCTTTCCCAGCTCCCTTTTAAGATGAGCCCACAGATGCTCAATGGGGTTCAGATCAGGACTTCCTGCCGGCCACTCCAGGACCCCATACTCCTGCTCCTGAAGCCACTGCTGCACCACACGGGACTTATGCTTGGGGGGGTTATCATGCTGGAAGATCACAGCCGAGGGGGTTAGCTTGTAAAAGTCGATGGTTTTTTTCAGCTCGTCTTGCAAAATGCTCAGATACAGCGGCCCGTCCATCCGACCATCGATTTTGCACATGAAACCCGCCCCTCAAACGTCATACATCCCCAGATCATCAAGCCGCCGCCCCCGTGTTTGACGGTTTGCTTGATCTGGTGGTGTTGGAGAGTCGTACCTTCACGAACCCAGGCGTACGCGCGGCCGTCAGAGCCGAACCTACTAATCCTCGTCTCATCCGACCATATGACCCGTCGCCAATCATCTATGGTCCAATCCGCGTGGGCCCGTGCGAACGCCAGCCTATCGCGGATATTTTTCTTGGTGAGTCGCGGCTTCTTAGGCTGCTGAACTGCGATAAGGCCGCTGGATTTGAGCGCATTACGCACCGTCCTAGGATGCACCGTGATGCCGTGCTGGGATTCGACGATTTGGGCCGCATGCCTCGAGGTTTTCGCCTCGCCGCTAGTGATCGCCCGGACGATCCCACGACGAATTCTACTCGACAGTACGCGTGGACGACCAGCAGTGGGCATTGTAGGACGTACGTCCTCGGGACTAGTCTCTGAAATCGCCTTGAGCCCAACATCATGCACTGTACTTTTCCCAACGCCAACCTGTTTCGCGATTTGCCTCGTGCTGAACCCCCTACGCAACAGGGCCACGATCCGGGCGCGACGAGCCTCATCTATCGGTCTCATCTTGGCGTAGTCTACGCCTCGGGTATAAACTTTATTCTGACTACTCGACGATTGCGTTAGGAACTATGGAGAGAATGCTCTAGTCGAAAACGGATCTAGTCCGCTGCTTGGCCAAAACTGTCCGGATGCACTCACGCGACTGAAATCTTGGCCACGCTATTAGTGCGACCCATTCAGGTTGCAAACGTGTTACCCTATTGTAACTGGCACGCGTAACTTATTAGTCAGCAATGAACATTCAACGATACATCGGGTGAAAGCATTCAAATCATGTGTTGAACCTAAAATTGGACTTTATCCGGGCAATACTTTCCGTCGCTGTAGACCCTTTCATGATGAGGCGATTCTTGTGCAGCAGCGTGAAGACTGCGTGAAGATCCCTTAAGTGCTGCTCCCTGCTGCGGCTGTAGATTAGAATGTCGTCGAGGTAGATAATTACGCATTTATCCAGGAGTTCGCGAAAAACACCGTTCATGGTCATCTGGAACGTCGAGGCGCGTTCGTGGGTCCAAACGGCATCACCAGGTACTCGTAACTACCGTAGCGGGTTCGGAACGCGGTCTTGTGGCAATCCTCGGCGGCGACGCGAATTTGGTGGTAACCTCCTCGCAGATCGATTTTCGAGAAGAACTGGGCTCCGCGAAGTTGGTCGAATTGGTCGTCGGCTCGCGGGATCGGGTAACGGGACTTGATGGTGCTGCGGTTGAGGGCGCGGTAGTCGATGCACATACGGAATCCGCCATCTTTTTTCGGTGTGAACAGTATGAGGGCGGCGTATGGGGATGTGCTGGGGCGGATAAAGTCAGGAGGTAATCCAGCTGCTGCTGTAATTCCTCGAGTTCCGGTTGGCTGAGCCGAAATTGTCGCTGTACTGTCGGTTGTGCCCCGGGTTCTAGCTCGATGCGATGGTCTTCGGGTCGGCTAGGCGGCAGTCCGGCGGGTAGGTCGTCTGGGAAAATCTCGGGGTATTTTCGGATGAGTTCCGCTAAATCCGGAGGAACGGCTTCACACAGCTTCGTGATATCTTCCGCTGTTATCGGTGACGTTACTTCGCGAAGATCGACGGCGTATGCTGCTGCTCCCGCTTTTATCGCGCGCTTGAAGGTGATCGCGTGGACTTGGGTACTTCGCATGCGGGGTCCCATCCATTTCGGTAACTTGTGATAGTGCCCATCGATCTTGATGCTGCAGCTGCCCGTCGTCCAGTCGATTCTCGGGTTGTACTATCGCAGCCAATCCCGTCCTAGCAGCACGTCGCACCTGTCGAGTCTAGTCGCCAGCAGCTACATCCGAAATTTTACGTGCTCGCCGCAGTGGAAACTGACGTGTTCCACCCGCTCCCGTATAGCCAGCGGTGTTCCATCCACCAGTCGTGCGTCGATTTCGGGTAGACACTTTAGTAAGGGGATACCCATTTTCTTAGCCCTGTCCAGCTGTATGAGACTGTGACTCGCGCCTCCATCCACGAATATTTTCAGCAACACCCCGTTGACTTTACCCTCCACCAACACAGGGTGATCAGCAGTTTCGTCCCCTTATTCGTCCGGGTCCGGTCGATTGCCGCAATCGGGATCACGACCCGGTGGGGACTGTGTGGTTCGTGCGAGGAAGCCTGCCCGTCAGTAAGGGGCCCGGTACTTACTGACGCGACCCATTTCCCGGTCGCTCCTCCGGCTTCTTCCCCATAGAATTCTGTATGGCGATGAACTCTTGGCAGTTACGTTTGATGTGACCCGGTCGGCCACAGTGGTAGCATAGCCCCGTATTTCGCGGAGCAACTGCGTAAATATCCACTGCGTCCATCCCTTTTATCGTGGCGCGCTGGTACTGTTCTCGAGGGCGACCTCCGTCGTAGAAGTTCGTCCTCGGCTTCGTGAGCGAGTCAGCGGCTTCGGCGAGTTGGATGAAGTCTTGTAACCGCTTCGCAGGTCGTTGTAATTTTATTTGGTACTGTATTTCAGGCTTCAGCCCACCCATGTACCTGTCGACCTTCTCCAACTCGTGCATGTAGCCACATCGATCCACCAACGTCAAGAATGACGCGGTGTAGTCACACACAGATCCCAGCTGCTTCCACATGCGTACAGTCTCGCGCGCCTTGTCTGAGTCAGGGGCATGCTCAAACCGCTTGCGGAGCTCCGCGCACCACTTTGCCCATGTGCGAATGTGAGTTGCACCAAACAGTAAATCTGCCTCGTCTTCGTCGCCGAATTCTTCGGACCACTCATGCTGTCCTTCTGTGCGAGTTGCCGCTGAGTCGACGATGACCTTCCACCACTATAGGGCGGCCCCTTGCAGCAGTGTCAACGCGTGGCTGATCCGCTTCTGGTCATCTCGGATGCCCGCCGCGTTAAAGTAGATATTCATGGCGAATATCCACTGCCGCACCGTCACGCCTTTATTAGATGGGTCGAAAGGAGCGGGTTGCTGATATCTCACGCCGCCACTTGTCGAGCGCGGGGCTGTCGCCGCTAGCCGTGCCAGCTCCACTGGTGTCGGTTGCTGCTCATCCGCCTCGCTTCGTGCATCGTCGCCCGGCTCCTCTGAACGCCTTTCCTGCGCCTGGCGAAGTCGTTGGTTTTCGTCACGGAGGTTGTTGACGACGCTTGTCAAATTATTTAACTGCTCCATTAATGCTTGCAGGTCTACTGTTTCCCGGGCAGAGTTCGCAGCAGTCGAGGTTGTCTGTTCCTCAACCGTCGAGTCTACCGGGGCCATGGCGGTCAGGACGGGGCAGAAACTAGCGCACACGCTGTAGTTGTTGTCGTAAAAATATTTACGATCAAAGGCAACTGCTGTGCAGCCGTGTTAATCCCCTCTGACCAGCCTTAACTAACTAACGCGGGAAACGGAAGGTTCCGAGAAAGGTCGGGCTCTGATATCAGCTGTTATGATTTAGAAGATGTCAATGTACTATAATGAGAATACAACGTCCCTATTGCCATGAAAGCACAAGGTTATATAGGAGTGGACGTAGTAGGGCGATAACCTCGGGACGTGAGTAGGTTCGGCAATGTGGCGACGCTATCGGGCGCGACTCGAGAAAGGGTTGGGCCGAAAATGTAGGCCGAACGTGACGAGTCGAAGTGTTCGGGTGTACGCGGTAGCGTACGACTCAGTAAGGAATGGGAATTCCTTACACTCACTCAATACAGACCGGAAGCAGAATCGCCTCCCCAAACATTCCATCCCCGATGTTTCTTCCCTACACTCTCCCCACGTATCCCCCGCTTCCCCTTCGCCCCTCCCCTCACCATCCCCTACCCTTCCCCAACCGCCCAGCCTCCCCCTCGCATTTCGTTTCTCGCGTGCCCTGTCCACTCCAGCAGAACCACCACCACCATGGCTGCCATTCACCGCCCCCTGCCGCAGCTCAGAAATTCCCGTAAAATTTTTGCTCATGCCAACAGAACAATGGACTGCATTGCATTCCGTTTGCAGCAGGGTTCTTTCTTACCTGTGTGACTTCTAGTCGCCGTGGTTGCTGCTTGCAGCCTTGCACCCGTGCTCCCTACATCCCGTCCCGCCCCGCCACCTCCCCCCTCTGCAGCACGCCAGGCCTGTCAGACAAACTGACGTTACGGCAGCCCGACTGGCCCCGTTTCGGGAATGACTGGCAAAGTCGCACTGTCCGGGTACTGTATAAACGAAGCGCGGCAACAGAAAGGAAGTTCATCCTGTGGAGTGGAGACCACTCTCACACCACACAGCGAGCGAGCACACACCTACGAACAAATTCGCCTGGTTGAGTAGAGATTCTTGATTCGACCTCACCAGGAAGTTCGCATACTGTACCAGTCTTTTCAGGACAGATTTCGGATCTCTTTTTTAATTTATTTTGGCGATTCCGTAGTAGTTCTGCACAACGGAGATAGCCATTGCTAGGAACGGGTAGCTGAAAGGCATGAGGATAATTAGGGCTTGAAAACGTCGGATTGCCGACCAACGGCAGATTATGCTGAAGCCAGAGTTACCTCCAGATTCACCTCCCGCGGCATCAGCGCCAGGAACGTCGACGGGTGCGACGGGTGCGACGGGGGTGGAGGTGCTACCGCTCACCCTTGCGATAGCCTCACTTGTGGTCGTTGTAACTCTCGTCGTTTTTATCACTCTCGCCTTACGTCATCCAGCCCTTCTCTACGCGTTGACTCAGTTTGGTTGTTGCCCTCACTATAACGCGAATCACTCCTCTCAAGAGCCTGCACGGAATGTGACTGTGTCGTGCTGGTCCCTACCCCCTCGGGGCTGCACCCCGCGCGGCTCGCGACATTCCCCGTCAAACCGTATCGCCTCCCTCCTGCTGCGGGGAAATTCCACGTTGACCCAGACATGAGGGGGTTACGGGAGAAAATACACTCGGAGATGCTACAGCAGCGGAAAGAAGTCTAGCGCTTGCAACCGACGCCTCTGAACCAGTGGAAACGCCAGGCGCGCGAGATATTCACGAGTTATTGGATTACGGGGGGCTTAAAGCGAGCAAAGAGTGCACAGTGTGTTTGTGTGACTTTAACGAGGGGGAGCTGGTTCGGTCTCTGCCGCCCTGCGCGCATCGGTTCCATGTCAGCTGCATCGACCACTGGCTCGCCGCCAGGACCACCTGCCCCGTGTGTCGCATAGACCTCGAGACGCAGACGCCAGACGCGACTATACAAAGCGTGACAGTAAAAGAGGGGAGGGGAGCGAAGCAGTCTGATCAAGTTGGGTTCGGCAGCGAAGCTTACTTTGCTCCCTCCCAGCCCAGGGGGGAGAGGAATGACAGAAACGAAGCAGATATCGGTTCTATTTTTGTGTCAGAAATCGGGTTGGTTTCGATAACTTCGTTGATGATCAGGCCACGGAACTGACTGCGGGAGAGAGTCCGACTCTATGACAAACCCTAATTTGTATCGACAGTAAGCGCCAGATGAAAGCGGGTGAAGCTGATCGTAACCCTGTGCGACTGGATTGTGCCACTAGCGAAGCTTCAATGTACTTGAATTGCGGGTCTGCTCGGACCTACAAAGCTCCGGTGAAAACGCCGCATGTGCCGCAATTCGCGCTGGCGATTATCCCCTACATGTTGTCTGCTGCTGCTAGCAGCACTGATGCTGCTGGTGCTGGGCATGCTGCCATTGCTGCTCGCGACAAGAACAGGTGCTTCATGGATTACGCTTTGCTCATTCACTTCAATCAGCGTGCTACACTGCATACGCGCATGCTTCTTGTATATTGTTTAAAAGAGATCAACTGCGCCCAACAATCAACCGGTATGTGGCGAGGTGGAATCAGGCTCAATCATTCTCACGTTTGTGTTTCATAGGACATTTGAATTAAAGCCGGGGTACACATTCAATGCGGCTCGGGATGGAATTGTGGCAGGGCCTCATATTATTATATTTTATCATGAATTCCTGATTTTCAGAATAAGTATTGTCAAACATGTGTATGTGTCATGTTTGTATAGACTGTATAGGGTCACCTCTTAGAGGGTACAACACTTAGGTATATCTGTGTGTACTCTCACTCTATCATCAATTCACTACTCTAATTCTGATATGGTATCACGCGCAGGCTAGGATCCCCCCTCCCCACCTACCGCTTCCGCTCGCCCCCCCTAGCCCCGTCGTGCCCTAGCCCCGTCGCGACCCCCCCTAGCCCCGTCGCGCCCTTCCTGGGCCCCGTCGCGCCCCTCCTGGGCCCCGTAGCGCCCCTCCTGGGCCCCGTCGCGCCCTTTCCTGGGCCCCGTCGCGCCCCTCCTGGGCCCCGTAGCGCCCCTCCTGGGCTCCGTAGCGTCCCTCTTGGGCCCCGTCGCGCCCCTCCTGGGCCCCGTAGCGCCCCTCCT